CCCTGCAAACCTCGCTGTCCCAACGGGCTGTGATGATTTACGGATGAGAAACGGTGCCACGGTCCTTAAACATGCCACGAGCTGGGGATTCATGGCCTCTGCTAATGGATTGGATAACCTGGCTGTCACCTCCCAGGGAAGAACCGCAGCCCTTTTCTGTCTGAAATAGCTCTGCTGGCCTCTGCTTGTGCTCAGTTGTGATGGAGCTGGGGTGTGCTGAGCTCCCGGCTGCCTCGGTGCAGGCCAGCCCTAGGTCATGGCCTTAACACTCCAGTAACCAAATGAAAACCTGGGTTTGAACCCAAAAAAGCCATTGGGGAGATGCATGTGAGGGGTTTTGGAGTCAGCAAAGCTCACCCAGGGCAGCAGGAGCCCCCTCTCAGTTGGGTTTTCCTGGGCTGCCCCCACACCCGGACCTGCTGGATGTGGGTTGGGGTCCCCCAATGGTGCCCCCCCACCTCCATCTGCCTCTGCCCGCAGGGATGGACCTCTCGGCCAACCAGGACGAGGAGGGTGACCAGGAGACCTACCAGCTGGAGATCAACAAGGACACCAAGAAATGCGCCTTCAGGACCTACACCGGGAAGTACTGGACCCTCACCTCCAACGGGGGCATCCAGTCCACCGCCTCCACAAAGTGAGTCCTCTCTGATGGCTCCGAGGGTACACTTGGGCTTTGGGGACCCCTCTGCGTCTCCCAAGGGAATCCAGGGGGAATTTTCCAGCCTCGGCGCTGGCCCCAGACGCTTCCCAGCAGAGGCAGTGAATTCCCCGGAGAGCCGGGGCTGGGTCGGGACTTGCCACCCACGATGCTCAGGAAGTCCCTCGGGCCATGTAATCCTTCCCAGCTGAAATGCTTTACCCTGCACTTGAACCCCATGCTAGCCGAAAGCCAGGCGGAAACCCCAAAAGTGCATTTGGCTGCTTGCCTGCCTCCCGCTGCCTCCTGCCTGCAGGGCCAGGGCTTCCCATTGGGGTGGCCACCATGGTGTGGCTCATCCAGCAAAAACAGATGGAATTGGCCCCCTCCCGCACCAGCAGGGTCCCCATCAGCCACATCCCGCTGACCCCTCGCTGTCCCCGCAGGAACGCCAGCTGCTATTTCGACATCGAGTGGTGCGACAAGCGCATCACCCTGAAAGCGGCCAACGGCAAGTACGTGACGGCGAAGAAGAACGGGCAGCTGGCGGCCTCCATGGAGACCGCGGGTAAGGGACCCCTGCCCTGCGCAGGAGCGGCAGGGGATGGACCAAGTCCCCCTGCTCCAAATCGCTCTCCTCTAAGTGATGCTCAGGGATGCGGGCAATGAGGTTTCTCAATGATGGTGCTGTGAGATGGAGGGGGCTGAGAAACAGGTGGGGGGGCTTTGCACCCCCCTCCCGGGACCGCTCTGACGTCCCCTGTCCCCCCCGGCGCAGGCGAGACGGAGCATTTCGTGATGAAGCTGATCAACAGGCCCATCATCGTCCTGCGCGGTGAGCACGGCTTCATCGGCTGCCGGAAGGTGACCGGGACCCTGGACTCCAACCGCTCGTCCTACGACGTCTTCCAGCTGGAGTTCAACGACGGCGCCTACAACATCAAGGGTGAGTCCTTGGGGGTGGCCGCGGTCTGGGGATGGGGAGGTACATGGCCACTGGGGTCCCCACGGTGGCTCACAGGGCCACCTCGTCCCCTCTGCCCGCAGATGCCACCGGGAAGTACTGGATGGTGGGGAGCGAGTCGTCCGTCACCAGCAGCAGCGACAGCCCCGTGGACTTCTTTTTTGAGTTCTGCGACTATAACAAAGTGGCCATCAAAATCAACGGCAAATACCTGAAGGGCGACCACGCCGGGGTCCTCAAGGCCTCCGCCGACGCCATCGATGCCTCCACCCTCTGGGAATATTAATGCACTTTAGCGTCCCTCCCGTTGCCAACTTTTCTTTCCCCTCCTTCGTCCTTTCTTCCTTTGGGTTTTGTTTCTCCTCTCTGTAACAGGATCTTCAGACCGGCTTGCCCTTCCCTCCCGCTGTAGATTTGGTGCGTTCTGAGGGGGGCGTCTCCATAAATCCCTGTAAAACTGGAAAAGCGATGGGGCCTAGAGCTTTGTAGAGGGGTCTGTCCCTATTCCCTGCCCCGTCCCCCTGGGTTTGCTGGGCTTAGATGCTCCTGAGCATCACCGTAGGTAGTTTATTTTCCTCTCCTCGATTGAAAAAGGGAATAAGGTCACCTCTGTGCTCGCCTTTGCCATATCAGCGCTGGTGCCACCTCGGTCTGTGCTGCCAGTGTCCCCAGAGCACCCGTCCCATCCCGCCCCTGGCCAGGGCAGGGCGACGGCGCTGGGGTAACCCGGCTCCCCCAGCCTCTTCTCTCCACCCCTGGTTTTCGGGGCAGGACTCATCCCCAGCTGAGGCACCAGAGGTGACCTTACATATCACATCATCCCCGGGGACGGGGCTGGCGTGTGCTGGCACATGTCCCCATGGAAAGGCCACCAAACCAACCCCATCCCTGCTGCATACCTGGAAATGAGTTTTTAGGGTGATCCCGTCTGGAAAGCCGCAGCCTTTCATCTCATGGAGCCCCACGCTCGTGTCCCTCTGCCCCTCCTGGTGTGTGGGGCTCTGAGGGGCATCGTAGACCCCCATGGTGGGTCTGGCCCCGCTGCTGTGCCTGGGAGGGGACAGAGCCGGGGGGACACAGAGCAAGCCCATGCTGGGTTGGGGGGGTTCATCCAGGGCTGTGGTCCCTTTGGGAGCCCCCCCAGCCCAATGCAACCCCCCCTGGGCACTGGCTGGAAGCATAAACTGCAGATTTTTGGTTTACAGAATAGAAAAGCTCCTTAGCAAACTTTGCACAGTGATATTTGCTCAGTACCTTTGGGGGTTTGGTTGCTTGTTTTTAATTCTCATAAAATACTGGAACAGTGATGCCCGTCACTGAACTCCTAATGCTGAATTAGGAAGCGCCCGTCTTGGTGGGCTCCCCCCCCATCCCCGAGGAGGGCAGCTCCTGGTCCTGCCTGGGCTTGGCTCTCATCCCATCGCAACCCTAC